AAAAGAATGATATCCATAACCAAATTGGGGGTAAGGGAGACGACAAAGCACCATCATGACTTTAATTAAGCCTATTTCAGACTGAACAACTTTAAATTTTACTTCAGAAAGAGGGAAAAGGGAGGAGTGTTCTGCATGGGGTATAAAACAAAGATCAGGTTTAGATCAGAGGTCACACCCTTCAAATTGCACTTCCCTTACAGAATGAAAATGAAAACACCTTCAGTGAGACTCCAAGTGCCTGAAACAAATTCTATATGGTATCCAAATGAAACGTTAAGTTTTCACCCCAAAATGCCCCTTAAAATATCGCCCAATGTAAGTAAAATTTGCTAAGATCATTTCTCAGTCTTATTTTTAATTGCTGTACATATACACCTTTTAAGACAAACAGTAATTCACAAATGCCCCTGAAAGAATGCTTCTCTGGTCCAGAAAACAGCCAGCCTATACTGTGTGGTATCACACAAATACTGCCAAAGTGACAGAACCTGCTATTTCCTTTTAAACACCATTAACAGTGCTCTAAACGACAGTGTTCTACTTCCTGATGTTGGTTCCTCCAGGTGGAATGAACAAGGAACATTCCCATGCCTTCAGGAACAGAAAAGATTTCTGGACACAGAAGCTTCAGAAAGACTGCTTGCATCAACTTACCCATCAGATTTGAGTTCATGAAAGGTGTTGGGGAGAAGCCTTCATGGGATCCCAATCGACTGTCATTCAAGTGATCACTATAATGAGGGCTGTCCGTAAAACCCTAGGGGGTTAAAAAAAAAAGTATTAAAGAGATTATTTGGCAGTCCTGCTAATTGAGTACAGTACTCACGTCACTCACATTGTTAATTCACAGGCTTACAAATGTCCATTCCTAGCAAATTTCCTGATTTTTATTTACAACACTAAACAGCAGGGTGCTCTTTTTGTTCCTCTTAAATTTTTAACATTAAAAAAAATTCTGGTATGGTGAGGTGGCTCAGTAGGTAAGGGTGCTTGCCATCAAGCCTAATGACCAGTTCCACATCCAGGACCAACATGGTGGAGAGAACTGACTGTTGCAGGAAATCCTCTGAACTCCACATGCACCATACTGCTGCTGCCACCACCACCACCACACACAGTCAACCAATAAACAGACGTGATATTAAATTTTCTTTTTAAAAATCTTTTATTTATTATTTTTAGTTTATGTGTATGAGTATATTGCCTGCACATATGTGAGTGCACTTGTGTCATGCAATGCTGTGGAGGTCAGAAGAGGGCTTCGGATTCCTCTGGAACTGGAGTTAAGAATGGTTCGTAGCTGCCATGCGGGTGCTGGGTATCGAACCTGGGTCCTCTGCAAGAGTCAGTGCTCTTAACTGCTGAACCATCTCTCCAGCGCATAAATTTTCTTTTTTGCTCTTAAAGGAAAATGAGTTGCTGGAAACAAACACTAACCAAGAGCCCACTGTAAGATCTCATTTCACATAAAGGGAAAGATCTATGGATATCCCTCCATTTCATCCAAAAGGACAGTTTTATGGATCATTAAAGAAAAAGATAAACAAACATACTTCTGAATTATAATACATCCTTATTGTCCTATTCTTCCTTTGTTACCAGGTCTTACAAAGAACTAGGCAATTACCAGTTTACCTAAATTACTACTAATAATTCCCAATTAATACACTGGAAAAATAATCTTTCTTAAATGGCAAACAAATATAGAACAAAAATTTCCATTTATACCCATTAGAATTAATATAACAAGATAAACTATAGAATCTGAGCCATGCAAAAAGGAAAACAATATAACAATTTATTAAATCCTTAAATCAGAAAAGTGAAATTGCAGACA